GGCCAAATATTTTAGGGTATGCAAATGTTTGATCAGGGCCATTTGTGTGATTTCTGTTATTGTGATTTAAAAAGAAGCCAAACAACTATGTGACAATAAGTGGCTTCATATGATCGCTATCCTTCAATAAATATGAGGGCTAGTGATGATGTTACCATTTTTGATCAGTCATATTTTCAAAATCAATGCCATCAATTCACAAATTCTGCCAGGGTACGCAAACTTTTGAGCACAACTGTATATGATATATGTTCATAATGATAACTGTCCGGTTACCGTGTAATACTGTAATAAATATGACTGTATGTAGACATTATGTATATAATGGATTGCTTTCACATTTATATTAATATCCAAGGTCCTGATTTAATATTGTTGCGTAAGCTTTTTAAATGTTTTAATATTTTTCGAGAAACTTTTAAAATTTGTTTTTCAAAACATTAAAATATTTAAAAAAATATTATATATATATATATATATACACACACACAATCCAGCGCACTCACTTATTCACTAAACAATGATTTCAAATCTTACAGATTGTAATAGTTTTATTTAAAAAGACCTCACCTAGGCAAAAAGTTTAGTTACATTATATGATCATATATTGCATAAGACTGCCACAATGTCAATGTACCCCATTCTTGGCAGGTCCTACTCTAGCAGCCTAATGCTTGCTCTTATGAGATTAATCCACTTACTTGGGAACTACTTCCTCCTGGGAGTCTCTGCAAGTCAAGGCTAAATAACGTCCTGGAATGAGGCACCTGTGATGGGGAGAGGTGCAAAAACAAGGAGTTAGCCTGGACTCCCAAATATATAAATAAGACCAAAAGGGCTGCACTCACCTGAACATGCATACATTATAGGGTGCTGCTGGGGCCAATATATACAACATACACAATACACAATCCAGCACACTCGCTTATTCACTAAACAATCATTTCAAATCTCACAGATTGTATTAGTTTTATGTTAAAACACCTCACGTAGGCTAAAAATAATGGGGGGTTTAGTTACATTATATGATCATGTCTTGCTTACGCCTGCCACAACATCAATGTATCCCAGGTCCTATTCTAGCAGCCTAATGCCTGCTCTTTTGAGATCAATCCACTTACCTGGGAACTATAACAGGTACTTAAGCGAGTGTTGGGCGATTATCTTTCAGCTGGCAACAAGTTATTTAACCCCAACTGATTCAATGAGTAGCTTTCATTTCTTAAACAACCACGTCGAAAGACACATCCCGTGGTCGTGGAAAAGATGTTAGTCTGTTTGGGAAGGGTCAAATCATTGGCATGCATCAAGAAGAGAAAACATCTAAGGAGATTGCAGAAACTACTAAAATTGCGTTGAGAACTGTCCAACGCATTATTAAAAACTGGAAGGATAGTGGGGAACCATCATCTTCAAGGAAGAGATGTGGTCGTAAACAAAATCCTGATTGATCGTGATCGGCGATCACTTAAACGTTTGGTGAAATCAAATAGTAGAAAAACAACAGTAGAACTCAGGGCAATGTGTAATAGTGAAAGTAAGAGCATTTCCACACGTACAATGCGAAGGGAACTCAAGGGATTGGGACTGTATAGCTGTGTAACCTTAAGAAAACCACTAATCAGTAATCAGTGATGCTAATCGGAAGAATTATTGCTAAGGAGCACAAAAGGTTGGGCTCTGGAGCAATGGAAGAAGGTCATGTGGTTTGATGAGTCCAGATTTACCATGTTCCAGAGAAATGGGCGCATCAGGGTAAGAAGAGAGGCAGATGAAGTGATGCACCCATCATGCCTAGTGCCTACTGTACAAACCTGTGGGGGCAGTGCTATGATCTGGGGTTGCTGCAGTTGGTCAGGTCTAGGTTCAGCAACATTATGTGCCCAAAGTATGAGGTCAGCTGACTACCTGAATATACTGAATGACCAGGTTATTCCATCAAGGGATTTTTTCTTCCCTGATGGCACGGGCATATTCCAAGATGACATTGCCAGGATTTATCGGGCTCAAATTGTGAAAGAGTGGTTCAGGGAGCATAAAACATTATAAAATATTTTCACAAATGGATTGACCACTATAGAGTCCAGTCCTTAAACCCATTGAGAATCTTTGGGATGTGCTGGAGAAGGCTTTGCGCAGTGGTCCGACTCTCCCATCATCAATACAAGATATTGGTGAAAAATTATTGCAACACTGGAAGGAAATAAATCTTGTAATATTGCAGAAGCTTATCGAAACAATGCCACAGCGAATGTGTGCCGTAATCAAAGCTATGATTTTTTTGCTGGTGACTTTTTTGGGGCCAGGCAGTGTATATATACATAAATATTACAAAAAGTTTATCCAAAAATATTAAATCTGAAAAAAATGTTTCCAAAAAATTGGGGCCCAAATAAAAATTAAAATGGATGCTTCTTAATAAAAAATAGATATAAAAGGTAACCATTTGTACAGATAGGTTGAGGATTTGGTTCACAAGTTTTTGAATGACTTACTGAAATAAACATAGATCAGACTTTTTTTGCTCTTGGTTTTTCACTTATTTTCTTAATCCAGTTTTTATTTATACTGTATATATGTTCCCACGTAATAAACTGAGGAGACAAGATTGTGACAGCCATCGCTATGCTCCAGGAAGCACTCTATTAGCTGGAGAAAAAGGTAAAACAAGTTATAGAGCTAAAATGTCATGTAAAATGTCATCCCTTTGGTCTTTCTGTGCTATAATGCACACACATTACTTATAATTTACAATATCATAATGTCTGCATGAGTTTCTTAGAAATGCAAAAGGTGATATGCCACGCACAGGGCCAGATTAAGAGCCCAGTGGGCCTGGTGCTGACAATAATGACGGGCCTAATTACAGAATCATATCGACCAAAAACAGTAAAACACTCCCAAGCATCATGTATCTGATGGAGATGGAGATGGTGCTGGAGAGAAAGAAAACAGCAGCTATAAGAAAACACATACCCTAGGCTAATCTCTCACTAATTTATGTTTTCATCTTTCAAGTAATCCATAACCCCTAACAGCAGTGCCCAGTCAAGCAGGAAGTCAATGGGCATGGTAAAAGGGTGTGCCACTGACACAAATCACGTAACCTGCCAAAAGGGGCGAACATGCCCAAAAAGAGGACATGTCTGCTCAAAGAATTAGAAGGCCAGCCTGGCATGAATGCATGTCAGGCTGCCTACCAATCATGCAGCTGGCCAACAAAGGGCATACTATGCAGACAGCACCCTGAGCTTGGCATAAATGCATCTAATGATGCGCTCGCTCAACGCTTTCTAAGGACTGTCCCCTAGCACTCGCTGGTCCACTTGTCTCCTAACCTTCTTACTAGCAGGCAGAAGCTCCTGGTATATGGTCTGGGACAGAGAAAAGCTGTATGTAGTGAGTGTAGAAGAAAGGGAACATGCCACAGTGTTAGAGAGACCAAAGTCAGCATTACCTTAAAGGATCACTATAGGGTCAGGAACACAAACATGAATTCATGACCATATAGTGTTAACACCACCATCTAGCCCCCTGGGCCCCACATGTCTCCATAAATATAGCAAAATCCTACTATATTCAAGCCTGAAGCTGTAACTCTGCATGCTGTTAGGCTCATAAAAACAAGCAGTCTGCTGACATCATTAGAAGTGGTGGCCTGATCCAATCACAGTGCTTTCCCATAGGATTGGCTGAGACTGACAAAGAGGCAGATCAGGGTCAGAGCCAGCATGATTCAAACACAGCCCTGACCAATCAGCATCTCCTTATATAGATGAATTTAATTAATGAATCTATATGAGGAAAGTTCAGTGTCTGCATGCAGAGGGAGGAGATACTGAATGTTTGGATGCATTTTAGGCAGCCATGACAGTCATGTGGCCAGTGAAGTTATCACTAGTATGTAATGTAAACACAGCATTTTCTCTGAAAAGACCATGCTTACAGCAAAAAGCCTGATGGTAATGATTCTACTCACCAGAACAAATTCAATAAGCTGTAGTTGTTCTGGTGACTATAGTGTTTCTTTACCTATATTCATTGTCAGCCAGTCCACACAAATGTTGTTCCCATACATCCCTCTTAAGTTTCCATACTTAAGTAAGAGTATGTGAAAAGTAGTTAGGGTTGCCACCTTTCTTGGAAAAACATACCGGCCTTACTAATTTGCATAATTAAATATGTGTGGGTGACATCACATGATGTAAATCACAAGGAGTGACATAACAGAAAATGCTGTAAAATCACCAAAAAACTACTTAGTTTGATTCTGCAGTATAGATGGATTCCTCCCAGTGCCCCCATGTCTCCCAGTGCCCTCATGACTCAGTGCCCCCATGTGTCGATTACTCCAGGTCTCAGTGTTCCTATGTATCAGTGTCTCAGTGCCCCATGTCTCCCAGTGTCCCCTAATGTTGTGTCCCCAGGTCTCCCAGTGATCCTATGTATCAGTGTCTCAATGCCCCATGTCTCCCTGTGTCCCCATGTATCCCAGGGTCCCCATGTCACTAGGACACTAGGAAGACGGGGAGACCTGGGGACACGGGGAGACCTAGGGACAAGGAGACACCAGTGACACTGGGAGACTAGGGGGACACATGGGGACAATGGGAAAATAGGGGACACTTGAAGACATGGGGACACAGACACCAGGGACAAAGATACTAGAGACACTGACTGGGGGACATGGGGACACTGAGACATGGGGGCACTGGGAGACATGGGGACACTGAGACACCAGGGCCACAGACACTAGGAACATTAGCTTGGGGACATTGTGACACTTGAGGCACTGAGAGACATTGAGGCAATAGGAGACATGGGGATAGTGAGACACTGGCAGACTGTGGGCACTGGGAGACTAGGGGTCACTGGGAGACTAGGGGGCACTGAGACACCAGTGACACTGGCTGGGAGACATGGGGACACTATGTCCCCATGTGTCTGTGCCATAATGTCTCCCAATGTCCCTTAGTGTCTCAGTGTCTGCCATAATATCTCCCAGTTTCCCTTAGTGTCTCAGTGTCTGCCATAATGTCTCCCAATGTCCCTTAGTGGCTCAGTGTCTGCCATAATATCTCCCAGTTTCCCTTAGTGTCTCAGTGTCTGCCATAATGTCTCCCAATGTCCCTTCGTGGCTCAGTGTCTGCCATAATGTCTCCCAGTGCCCCTTACTGTCTCAGTGTATGTCTCCTTGCAGCCTTTTCCCCTATCCCTTACTTCCCTGAGCTGTAGGCTGTCTCTGCAGGGTGGGAGTTGCTGTCTGGACTCTCTGTAGCTGCTCCCCTGTAGATCAGTGATTATAGATAGGCAGGGAGGGATATGCTGGGACTTCCTATCCCTGCCTGTCTCCACATACAGCGACCCCTACTGGCCAGTGCTAGTATTGCAGAGTAATCTCCATTTATACTGATACCAGCATTTATTTTGCCAGTATCACTGCAATATTGGCACCAGCCAGGCAGCCTCAAATACTGGCTGTGCCAATAAAATAAAAGCCATGTGGAATCCCTAAGAGTAGTGTGTGAAAAAAAAAAAAAGTAAAAAAAAAAAAAAATTTTTTTTTTTTTTTTTTTAAAATCAATGGGCCTATTCCATGGGCCTGGGCCTGGAGCTGCAGCTCCATCAGCCCCTATGTTAATCCGGCCCTGGCCACGCATCAACATCTATCTATCTATCTACCTATCTATCTATCTGTCTACTATCCACCTATCTAGTGGCAGAACTACCGCCAGTGGAGCTGCTGCAAGGTGTGGGATGCTTCGGGTGGCCAATGCAATTAGGGCCAAATGGCTGAACAGTAACCCGGGAGTAACAGCCCTTTAACAGCGCGACTGGGCCCCTGCAATATCGGCAATACCGGGAGAAGGTGATTGCAGGTTAATCCTTCCAGCTACACAGAAAGCCTATGAAGGAGGCAAAGAGGAGGTACAAAAAGAAGGAGGGAGAGCAAGAAGAAAGCTTATTCCAGTCCCACACTCCCATCAGACTCAGCCAGCAACAGGATCCCATGGAAACTCCCTTCCTGCACACAAAATGCATGTTAACAGGAGGGTGGCTAAAGTTATAAGGATTATGACATGTTTATGTCAGTGTCAATGTGCAGGACCAGACTGGGGATACAAAGCAACCCTGGAAAAAAATATATGCCAGCCCCATATATATATATATATATCATTCCAGCAACTCTCTTCAGCTGTGTCTGGTTCTTGGCCTATATAAGCCAAGGGACTTGTGTTTGGGAGGTGTGACTTAAGTGCGGGGCATGTGGCCTAAATTGCTGTAAATGCTCTGGCCGCCAGCAGGCTAATTGCAGCCGCACCAGCCCCCAAATGGTCCCTCTTTACTCCTTTAGGACTGACACAGGCTGTCTGAGTCCGAGGGAAAATCATTTAAATGAAATTATCCTGATGATTAGGGCTGTCTGCCAAGCCCCAGGTGCCGCGGTCCACCAGGAAATTTCCTGGTATCCCAGTGGGCCAGTCCGGCCCTCTCAATGTGTGTGTGTGTCAGTATGTGTGTATCTGAGTATGTTTATGTTTCAGTTTATGTATATGTGTGTATGTGAAACTGACTGCTGGGTTTTGAACCCGGTTTACATGCTGCTAAACCTCTTTCTTATCAGTTCCCCAGCCTGCCTTTTGCAAATTTACCTGAGATCTGATAATCTTGACTCTACAAGCAATGATATCAGTGCCAACTCTCTTCAGCTGTGTCTGGTTCTAGGCGTGTATAAGCCACTTCCTGTCTCTGTACCTTTGCCAGATTATTGTGGTTCCTGTACACTATAATCAAGCTTGTTCCTATTTCTCCTACCTGTTGCTGAATTTGGACCATTTGACTGTGCTGCTTGTCCTTCCCACTGACCTTGGCTTGCCTTACTACGATTACCATCTTTCTGTCCCAGTCTCTCATCTCTGCCTAAGACCAGATGGCCACTTAAGGCTCAGGAGCTCAACCACCTGGGTAACGAGTGGCTACTTCTGGCAGAAAACATTGCTGATCTGGCTGTTGGACTCCAAACCTTTGTAACATCAATATCATTCCAGTGTGTGTGTCTATGTGTATGTGTGTCTGTGTAAGTATGTATGTATGCGGCAGTGTATGTGTATATGTGCTTACATCCCAGCAATCAAATGCCAACACTACAGGAAAATAAACCCCTGCATTCAAACGCCAAAATTATACCCAAACATACCTTTTGTTCAAGCACCAATACTACACACAAATGTACACACCTCTGCATTCAAATTCAAACACTTGACACAAGTACACCACTGAATTCTAATGGCAACAGGACATACAGATCACCCCTACATGAACACACACACGCACATGCTTCATACAAAGAAAACATGCTTACATGCAAATACAAAAACACTGTTTACAAAAACAAGCTTCCAGGGATATGCAAATAATAGATCCCACCCACCCTCATGGACCCCCTCCCGCCGCTTACCTTTCTCCAGCGCCGGGCTCCCTCGGCGCTGGGGACTCTCCTCCTTCTTCTGAAGTCATCCTCCGAATGCGCATGCGTGCGTGCATTCAATCAGTCCATAGGAAAGCATTACTCAATGCTTTCCTATAGATGTCAGCGTCTTCTCACTGTGATTTTCACAGTGAGAATTGCGGAAGCTCCTCTAGCGGCTGTCAGTGACCACTACAGGCTGGATTAACCCTATTGTAAACATAGCAGTTTCTCAGAAACTGCTATGTTTACAGCTGCAGTGTTAACCCTAGATGGACCTGGCAACTAGACCACTTCATTGAGCTGAAGTGGTCTGGGTGCCTATAGTGGTCCTTTAATTTAACTTAAGATGGCAGCTCAGTGTAACCTGTGTCATTGGTACATCCTATAGTTTGTTACATAATGGTAGCAATGAAATGAATCTTAAAAAAAAGTAAATTATTAACTAAACTCCATATTGTAATTGATATCTGAGTGGTGAAATTAAGGCTAAAATTGCTGATTTTGAAAAATTCACCCAACTAAACTATAGTTGCTACTCATCTAGTTTTGCCTACATTTTGCCACTCGGATTTTTTTCAATTCAAAATAATTTGGAATTTAGTGAATAAGCCTATAGGGTCTGCAATAAAATCATTGCTGCTTTCCATAACCATATTTTGTATATATCCTTCATTATATGGACAAGATGGTGGAAATATGTTTATATAGATTATATTGTTAATGCTTTTATTTTGGCACTGATAGGGGGCATGTACATTGTTTCTCTCACTATATAACATTATCTCGCATCTACAAGCATAAACAGACCGAGCACGGCAAACAATCTATTTCTTAAACAGACATGTTTCCAAGTCTTGGAAATACTTAAATAGATTCCACCTTAAATGGATTTTATCTCGAAGCATGCCCGTAAAAGGCTCATGCTAATATCGTCTCCAATAAAGAACAAATCAGTGCCCAACTCGACTTGTCTTATCGCACAGTCAAAACTGATGGCTGAAGAAGTCATAAAGATCCCATTTAATCTCTCTTCTATCTATCACCGTGAATGTCTTTATCCTCTTTGTGCACTGGTAATATCTGCTCATTATGAAAGCAAAATAGATCTGGCATGAATAAAAACTGGATGGAGTGCTCACTTTGATTTTGACAGCATGATCAGTGGAAGTAGTAATCTGTGAGAATCAAAAGGGCTAAATTATTCCATAACAGTAATTTGAGCGAACAGCTCGCAGCATACACATCTGCTCTCATATATTGTGACGTTCCGTGATAAAACATCCTTCCCAATTTACTCTTCCTGTGCTTCACTAATCTGCAACAGCTCTTGCAATGTCTAATCATACTATCAAAAGAGAGAAGAAGTTCAATTGAGACTCAAATAAGAGGAGATTGGAAAACTATCTTCAATTGAAATTACATTTGTAAATGAGCCGTACTTTTTTCTCGGCGCGTGCTGCGGTAAATGTGCCGGGAGAGACGGCTACGCTGAAGAGCGGCAATGCGTATACAGACAATGTTTATTTCATTGCTGCCATCGTAAGACAAGATTGTGCAGACTGGTGTTTACGAAGTCGAGTGTTGTCTAATTTAGTGGGGTTATCATTAAAATGTTTCATTTTTATCATAAAGTAACACAAAAAAAATTAAAGGAATGAATGTGAAAATGCATCATAAAACAAAACAAATAGATTAACAAGCAGAACTGAAAGCTCTTTATGTCTAGAATAAGAATTTTTTTTAAGGACTGCTCCACCCATGTGACATCCATGAACAAATGAAATATACTTTTTCATATACATATTAATTTGCATACATGTCATATGATAATTATTTTATATAATGTTTAGGCTGGTTTTAGGCAGAAAAAAATCCACTGGTGTTATTGCAGTATAAGTGAGTTCAGTAATATTAAAATGGCCATTTTCGAAAATCCAAATGGTCTTGTACAAAATGGCAGTTCGGAAACATAGAATTTGTCCGAAACGCTGATCACCCCAAATTTGGCTGAATTTAAAGTTGTCCAAAAGCCAAAATAGTGTGAATTAGCTTGAAGTCAAAGTGAATTTAAAATGTTAACCCAAAATAACTGAATTAGGAAACATTTTTGCATTTGCTTTGATCAACTGATAGTAAATAATAGGCTTGGGCCCTGGAGAAATGTTTGTTTCATCAGAACCAAATTTTGTCCATTGAAATTAAGACATTATTTTAGTTTTGGACAACTGATTCATTCATTCGGCTCACTCTCCCATTCCATGTTGCTATGCTAATGCAATGAATTGAAAAAGGCTGAACCGTTCATCCAAATAGCTAATTTGTTCGGTGCGCGGAAGGTCGTTCGGCTCACTTCCTTCATACCTGTAATAATAAATATGTATGAGTGAGCAGAATTAACGAATGAGCACCACAAATTATAGCCATTAGTGCATTCAGATGACTCATTTGGCAGTTTGTAATACATACTATAAGATACAGTACACTGTCTGTCTGTAATCCAAAAGGCTGAATGAGTGATCTAAATGAAGAAATGGCTCATTCATTTCGTGCGCATTTGTTAGTTCGGCTCACTCCCATGAAATATTATGGGAGTGAGCAGAAATAACGAAGTCACACCGAAAGAATGAATGAGCCATTCATGCATTCGGATGAAGCAGACAGAGAGCGTAATACAAAACGCAGAATGCAAATTAATGCATGTGAATGCAAATAAATGAATAAGCAAATGTTGCATGGGATAATTTTGCTTTTCGCCCATTTGCTATTTGGTAATCGGACTAATGGATGAAAATGAAGATTTTTATCCCAAAATTAATTC